ACTGATCAAAAATTACGCCAAGAAATGAAAAATATTACAGAAAACTGTAAACTGCTATTTACCGCTTCTTCGAAATTAATTTCAAATTTTTCGATAATTTTTAAAATGTCATCCACATTGTTGACGTTTAATTTTTTTAAATCCAAAAATTTATAAGAAAAATAATCACATTTCACTCATTTTTATCAATTCTTTTGTGCAATAAAATAGTATATTATTTAACGAGCACATAATCGAGGCTATAACTTTGCCGCTTCCTAGAAAATGGGATTCCATTCAAACTACAAAAAATGTCTGTACTTACAACAAAATGCCAGAAATTAAAGAAAAAAAAAGAGTTTTATTTCAAAGAAGCGGCAAATATGGGTTTACCTATTTGCCGCTTCTTTGCTATAAAATTCAATTTATTTAAGAAAAAAAATAGAGAATTCTACTCAAAGCGTAATTCTAATGTCTCTTGATATATTTAAAAATAAAAACAATTTTTAATGCATCGCTTTTTTCATCGAACGAGTTATACAGAGTGTCCAAAAAACACTGACACATCACAACTAATCAATACTTACCTTTAAAATCTATAATAAAAAAAGTTAGAAAATAATAAAACACAACAAACAACAAACTTTACTTTAGGACACTCTGTATACAATAAATACATGCACAAACCATAAAAAATAATTCTAAACAAAAAACACACATACAAAAGAGACGAAAAACACACAAATTTAGAAAAAAAAAATTCGTAAAACCTGTGCAATGATGGAAGCAACTTTATCTTTGTCGATCGTCGCTGTGATTCGTTTGTTCTTAAGATGGTGGGGCGTATCGCGACGATGCAATCGACTAGGACGTGATGTTGGGTCAATATCATCACCGGTAGGTATGGTACCGGTGAATCCCACACGTCTTGGAACCAATTCCTGCATACGAAATTTTTTTTGCCACCAAAACGACGTTTTTCAATCACAACAAATCGTTTTTTTTTTTTGATATTGCACCCTATATCAGCTTAATTCGTTTGATATTTTTCAGTTACTCTAGTTTCTTTAAACAAACATAAAAATTCCTTCAAATATTATATCAGCAATAATATTTTTCATTAAAAAAAAATATTTTCCGTTCTAACATGACAATATCATCCAAATATCACACTTAATATTTTGCCATCCACAATAATACTCTAAATATCACATTTAGTGAGCAAATTTGATGCAAAATTTTGAATTATTTACGTTCTCAAGTAACAATATCACTTGATATCATCAATATATCATCGAATATCACACTTGATATTTTACCAAACTACAAAAATCGCAAGATCTTAAATAGTTTCCGTTCTCAAATGATAATATCATCCCAAGATCAATCAATATCACACTTAATATTGTGCACCTCCACAAAAATATTTCAAATATCACCAAAATTTTAAAGAATTTTCGTTCTCAAATAACAAAACAACTCAATATCATCCATATATCACCCAATATCACACTTGGTATTTCACAAAATATCAAATATCGCACACTTGATGCAAGATCATAAATACTTTCCGCTCTCAAATGACAATATCACTCAATATCACTCAATATCATGCCAATATCACTCAATATCACACGCCTACTCACATCCACCGTCTCCTCCTCGCCCTCGCTGTGCTCCTCGCCGTTCCCGATGACCTCCTCTCTCACAATTTGCGGTGGCGGCGGTGGTGGCGGTGTTTGTGGCCTGTGTATCGTCGTATTAACCGCTTCGACGACTTGATCCGCATGCAGATCGCTATCTTCCAACGAATTTTGTCCCTTACTGAACAATTTATGTGCTTTGGCTTTGAGTTCGCGTGGATGTGGTGTATTCTGACGCACGAAAGGAGTCTAAACAAGCCGACAATTAACCGAAATAATAGAAAAGGTCGAAAAAGGTTAATCCTATTACCTCTTTGTTATCTTGATCTTGTGGATCGGAGAATTTCACCGAATGGGTACGACTTGCTTCCTTTTCTTCCCAATCTTCATCGCTGGCAGCATCATCTGTGGTAGCTATAGCACCGTTAGATAATGACGATGTCACGTCACAGCGGAACAAACGACCGTCAGAGGCTAAACAAGTGCAAAGCGAACAAAAAAAAACGGTGCTTAAACGAAAACGAAGCGTGAGTGCAAGCAACAAAAAAAAAATAAAAAACACAAAAAAACACCGGATTTTTTCCCCCTGTAATTACGACAAATCGCATTGATTGTGATTATAAATGCAGAAAAATGCCGATCAAGGCAACAACATCCGTCGGAAGTCATCATTTTGCCCGGAATGCCACATTTTACATACTCCACATTTATCCATAAATGGGAACACCTAGATAAGTGCAATGAACGTAAATATTTACGTACTTATATGAAATACCTCGTAAAGATTTGTCACGACTTAATGAAAATTGTATGGCGTCGCGACGCCCTATAAAATTGTTTTGATAATTTGAGTAAAATCTATATCAATATACGTGATTCGATTGCGAATTTTTTTTATAGAAAGTTACACCAACCGGAAATACCATGACTCGAATTGTGATTTAGAATTCAAGCACGTAGGAGAGTAATATGATTTAATTTAAAGTCAACGATTGGTTAATTATAAGATAAAACATCAATTAAATCAAACTAATTGATTTGTTTTTATCACTACAAAAAAAACGGATCAAAATCGTGGTAAATTAAAGCACAATTGACATTTTTCTAGGCCAAATATTTCCCATACTCGTTAAAAAATTGTATATTCAAAATTTAAAAATTCTTTTCTTACTGTTTTTGTTAATTTTTTTTTCAAAACTGAGCAGTTTTTGTGTCTTTTGAATTTTTTGCGGTCACAATTTCATTTTACTTATAATTTCGAAAAAAAAAAAGAGTCAAAATCGTGGAAAATTAATGGGTTCTGGGCCAAATATTTTCCATATTCGTTAAAAATTACATATTTCGAAATTTTAAACTCTCTTTATTTTAAGTTAATGCAATTTTTTTCTTACCTTTTTCTGAATTTTCGACGATCATAATTTTCATTTCATTTGTAATTTCGCAAAAATTAGTCAAAATTGTCTGCGAAATCAATATCTTTCTGACGAAAATATTTTCCACACTTGTTAAAAATTGCACATTCAAAATTCTTTTTTTTCTCTTTTCAATTTTTTCTCTAATAAAAAAACTTTTACTTCTTTGAACTTTTTGGGTGTTTAAATCAGAAGCAGTATAATTTTTTCTTAGTTTTTTTTAACTTAACAAAAGGTTGCAACATTTTCTATCAAACTGTATTTTTCTTTATACTCATTTTTTGCATAACAAAAGTTTACCTATTTTTTTAATTTTTATATTTCAATACGGAGCAGATTTTGTATTTTCTAAATTTGTAGCAATCCTAATTTTTACTTTTCTACAACAACAAAAAATGAGTCAAAATTGTGGATAATTAATGCACAGTAAAACAATTTCCATACTCGTTAAAAAACTGCACATTCTAAATTTAAAAATTCTTTTCTCACTTTTTTTGTTATGATTTTTTTCAAAACCGAGCAGTTTTTGTGTCTTTTGAATTCCTTGCTATCACAATTTTCGTTTTACTAATAATTTGGAAAAAAAAATGGAGGAGTCAAAATCGTAAAAAATTAAAAGGTTCGGGGCCAAATATTTCAAATATTATCCATATTCGTTAAAAAATTACATATTTCGAAATTTAAAAATTCTCTATATTTTAAGTTAAAGCGATTTTTTCTTACCTTTTTTGAATTTTTAATGATCATAATTTTTATTTCATTTATAATTTCGAAAAAAAATTAGTCAAAATTGTCTGCAAAATTAACATCTTTCTGACGAAAATATTTTCTTCACTTGTTAAAAATGGCACATTCAAAATTCTTTATTTTTCCTTTTTAATCT